AGACTCATTTGTGGCGGGTGAAGCTTTGGCTTCAAGCAAAAAGTGTCTTTAAGAGTATTGGACATTTTTTAAAGTATTTCTTCAACCAGCTGTCATTCATCACAAACGTAACTCGAAACCGGTCATTACTCAACATCGATTGTCAGCAAGCAAGCACGTTGGCGAAAAATTCGTCTAGACGTCCATAAAGTAGTGTAGAATTTTTGCTACTCTGCGGCAGCAGACGTCAAGTCTGCTAAGAGTTCCCAAAGTACAATGCCCGAAAAGCCAACTTACCGAACGAAACAGAAAAGTACTAAGGAAAACAAACAAAACAATACCTGATTTACGTAATTATGTACACTCACGATTTTTTTCTCGACGAAGAAGGAGGCTGCTCCCGAATCGCCGCCTGCCGCTTTCACCTCGATCCTCTTGGCCGAGTCGTCGATGCTGCAATGCGCCATGTCCGACTCGAGTTCGTTTTCCTCAATGCTGACGTTGGACAGGGTGTGAGACGACAGCAAGTTGTCCCCGCTGGACTGCTTCGGGTTCGCGCCCGGTTTCAGCAGTTCGCTCATGCTGCGCTTGTACTTCCCCCGGCGTTCTTTCTTAGTAACGGGCTTCTGGTCGGTGCTCATCCGAAGGCTCTCGGCCCTCTGCATCATCTTCATGACGCTGGCGCTTAGCATGGCCGTGGTCGGTCCGGTGAAGCCTAGGTTTCGGCGTCCCAAAGAAGAACTGCTAAAATGTCAATCGATCTGTGAGCTGCTGTGTGCTCGCGGCAGCATCAGCGCAATAGAAATATGAAACGCAATCGACGACCCTCTGCGACGACCGCTTCCAAGCTACTATAATCCGTCACAATGGCGGTGGGCGGCAAAATACAGCACGCACGTGATCAATCACGGTGTTGACTGGCTGGATCATCAGAGCCGACGGCCTGGGGCCGCGTAAAGTACCTTACATACGGATAGCCAGTCGCACGGCAGCTGGAGAATTGGCAGTGATAAATTCTGACAAAGCAAGGGATGCTCTGCGAAAATCGATGTCAAACTTGCGAACTTGCCAAAGATAGTCTCAGCGGCGCGCATCAGCATTGATTTTTTTTGAAGGAAGGACGGAACACCACCGGAACAGGTACAGTCATGAATGGAACAAGGAACGGTTAGGGTTCAGTTATCAGGTCAGAAACAGCAGTGGCGATTGGGGGCACAATTAATGACATTCGGTCAAACGGGCTGAAACGGTTTGGTGCCAATTCGAGGTACAAATGAATTATTCACGAGGTTCCGAGGCGTCGAGTTCAGTCATCACGCCTCAGACAAAGATCCGCGAAGAACTGAAAACGTCATAGCGCTCTGGAATATGTGAGCTGAATAGACGAAGGCTTTTTCAACAGTTCTCACGCCGGGAAGGAAGCAAACCAGGGTTGTTGGTTTTTTTGCATCCGACTCAAAACCGAGAGGACCAGTGTTCAAACCCAGGTGAGATCGCTTGCTTTTTTTCCTTCGAAAGTTGTCAAACGAGTACCACTTGTTGAGAAGAAGACAGAAGATAATGCGCCATACTTGCCTCGTGACTGTAGAGGATGAAGTGCTTCTTAGCGATGGCAGGAAAACGATTATCTGTGTAACACTACAAATGGTGCTCAGTATTAAATGTAACGGAAACCGGCTAAATGGCAGGGCGCAAGCCTGACGCCTTGTCTTATGGGTCAAAGAAAGGGCATCAGATGCACTTGAAACTGCGGTTTATAAAAATTCGACATATACGGCTGGAAATTGTCTTATTCTTGGTTCTTATGACTCCGTAACCATCAAAAGTGGCTTAGATCAAATGCTGTTTTGAGAAGCTTGAGGCTGCATGCTGATTCCATTTCATTTCGACAACGGATCGATATTCGTTCCAAAGAATTTAAACAAAATTGCTATCTGAAAGATTTCATTCAGCAGTAGTTCAGCCGGGTCCCGGAAGTTGAATAAAAGTAGCACTCAGTGTGAAACAAATTCAGGTAAAACTTCATCAGCACTCCTCTGTTGGTTATTCCCTAACTGTGGAACTTAAATGAAAGAGTTCTTCTATGGTGGTACTTGACACAGGGAGCAGACATGTGTGGTAGAGCTGACCGCAACTGCCAGCAGATGAGTCTAGAATTAGTGAAGCAAAATTTTATTGAAAATGGATGAACTGAATCAAAATCAGCTTCAAAAATTCTTTTAATGAAATTTTAACAGATGACCTTTTCAAAAACAGATTTGCCGACTGTTCTGACCCGTTGTTCCTTGTTGCCTAGAAAGGAGGGCGCTTAAACAGAAACCACCGCTACGTGGCATTTAATGACCTGCAGTGCCAAAGTCGTCTTGGATCATTCAGTTCACTAGAACTACCTTACGTTCATTAAGAATGATGTTCCAGGAGCTGGTACTCCTCATACGCTATGCTATTGCATAAATATCAAAATATGTCTATGCTCAAAAGTATGACCAATAAAGCTCGACTCTTTCATGATCAGATTTCATGGCGCATTTCCCCACCCCTTTGCTCCCAATTTCCTGAAGTGGGCCATTTAGCAGTATGGCACGAATTGATCGACTTACTCTGGCGTGGGAATAACGTATGGTGTTTATGTTATAAACTATGTGATTACCAATTCCTGAAACATCATTTGTGATGAGTTTGAGGTGACTATACTGAAAAACTGGTACGAAACGCATCTGGCACTGCGGGAGCTCAAACATCATGCAGCCGGGCCTGCTTAAAATACACCATAGGCAGTTTGGAAGTCCGCAGGCAGTAAAATACTTCATGAAGTACAGTCTTGGAGACATCATGACTTATTTGACATATTCAGGCTTATGGACATCCTATGATGCTGAACTGAAGAAGCAAAATATTATGGGAAGAAGTGACACACTGAGACTGAGACTGTTTGCAACTGTCCGTGCGGTCCGAGATCTCTTTCGTAGGGAAGGAATTCTGTCAACACCGGAGGTAACTTCGATTAGTCATTCAAAATTGGAAAAATATTGCGAATGTGGAACAAGTCACACTAGAAAACCAGGAAGAGTCTTTTAACGATCACGTGACCGCATGCGCATTGACTAAAGTGAGAAAAGGAGACATGAGGAACCATGTGATTCAGCGAGTCTCAACCACGATAATTTCAGGAAAATTCATCTGTATGAAAATGAAATTTCTGACAACTATACCAGAAGAGTAAGCACATAGCAAGACCAGCAGAGCAGACAGAGGAAATCTATATTGTCAATTCAGCTTGGCTTAAGTTGCTTTGTCATAATCCTGCTTAATGACTTTTGCTTCGTTTTCGCTTCTGTTTGCATTTCATTAAGGTTTTGGCTTTGACAATGATTCTTTCTTTTTGCACACTACCTGCAGTTTTATGGCTTTTCAACCAAGTCATGGATATTGTAACGTGACGACCGCTTTAATCTCTTACTCGGAGAAACTCTGACTTTGCGAAGTGCACGCCGACCAAAGCCACAGCACCGCTTATAGACAAGGAACCGATCAGGCAGAAGTGGTTTAAGCAGTCGATGCTGATTCGCCCACGGCGAGCGACCACGAAGAAATCATCTGTGCTTAACATCTGGTTGGCCAACAGGGACGTGGTCAAGGAGAAACCGTCCAATCTTGACGACTCATTTACCCGATAACAGTCGTGTCATCTCTGTTGACTAAGTATTAAACACTAAGTGTCTATCTACGTATGCCTGTCCAGAACAAAATGAACCCATTTGCTATGGAGCAGCAATTCAGCGTCTCAGTGTCTTTTAGATCTGACTTTCAAATGCTAGTAATTGAACAGAACCTTTCCTTGCCCAAAGGCTGTCAGTCATCTTGAACTGCAAGATCGTAGTGGCTCTTGCTCTGTATTCAGAGTAATCACGCCCTCTTTGATTGTGTTTCAGATCATTTGAATCATCATCAATGCATCATGCGATTGGTTTTCGTTGAGGTCGCGCCTCAAATGCAAGTTGACGCTCCTCTAAGTCTTCTACGCTTCATTTCAACAGCAAAATGATTTTAATCGCCTTGATCACTTTGAAGAATAACGCTGAGTACAACAAGCCCGTCTCTCCTCGCGGTTTCGAGTCTTCTCCCTCTACACGCGATTTTCCTGCTCCTGACATAATCTTCCCGTCGTCGCGGATGACGAAGGGACCTAGTCTGCTTGACAGTAAACCAACCGACCTTTTCCCCGTC